TCATTTTGTGTGTTGTCAAGTCCTGTAAAATGCATGATGATGACAAGAATTGAACAACACAGTTATTGGTTGAAACCAATTTTGAGACTGATATCAAGTTAAAACTGAAACTAGGCACAAACAGAGCATCATGTAATGTAATATTAGATGACAATTGTATGAGTCCTATTGAGCAAGCATCAGTAGTATGACCATTTGGTAAATTGATATGAACATTTTTTATAGGTCTATCATACTGAAAGTAAGATGCATCACATATCATATGATCAGTTGCCCCTGTGTCCAAGATCCATGTATTTTTATCTAGAGTCCTAGATGCTACACAAGAATAAGGTGTAGAGGTACCTGACAGCTCTTGAACAGCAGTAGCAACTGTGGGGTTCTGCTTTGATTGCTGTGACTCTTGAGATCTTTTGAATGCTAAAAACTCATGAAAGAGCTCATTAGTCATGGAAGATACATCAGAGTTATTAGTAGTAACAATATCAGGAGTAGGGGATGCATTAGCAATGTTGGCTGAAGGGTGAGGATGCTTAGGGTGGATTCGAGGTCCCCTTGGGCCAATCCAGTCAGGTGAATAACCATAAACTTTGTAACACTTATCAGATGGGTGAGGATAGCCACAATGAGTGCATTTAGGCCTTGGCTTTTTATCTTTGTTATATGGTTTTTGGTATTTTTGGTTTGTAGAAGCAGTTTTGGCCAACATTGCCATGGGATCAGTATGGGAAGTAGTATTGTTTAAGGATCTTTGGGACTCCTCTTGAAGTAACAGAGAATAGATTTTGGTGAGGTTAGGCAGGGTGAAGAGAGTAAGAAATGGCTTCTGAGGGAAGCATATGAATCGTTCAGCCCAATCAAAAATTTCATCACACAATCTTGCTGCTGAGATGCAGCCATAGACTCAAAAATATTACAAGTACAATGGTTAAAAGCCCCACAATGACACCGAAAGATAGGACGGTAAGTAATATATTCATCCCAAAGACCTTTAAAACTGTTATAGTACTGTGTAACAGACATAGAACCCTGATCCATGGTACTAAGAGATTTTTCCAATTGAAATACCCTAGGACCAGTACTGACTGCGTAACGATTTTTTAGCTCATCCCATACATCCTTTGCAGTATTAAAAAACAACAGTGACTGTCTTATGTCTTTAGAAACAGAATTAAGAAGCCATGACAGTACTAAATTGTTAGCCCTAACCCAAGAGACATAGAGATTAGGGTTACTAGTAGGAGAAGGGGAAATCAGAGTACCGTCGACAAAACCTCCCTTGTTTTTGACACTCAAAGCCATGAGAACTGCGCGCGACCAGAAAACATAGTTCTAGCCATTGAAAGGATCGGCGATGATAATCGCGCCTGGATTATCGCTGGCGTGAAGAAAGTAGGGGGATGTCGGATCGTCGGTCGGATTGACGGCAGTAGACATGTCGATAAACAGTAGATCTAGGATGTGTAGATCAAATACTAAACAGAATCTCGGAGATTGAGATCGAAGGATTTTCAGAGATCGAAAACCCTAAAAAAAATCAAATGAATCGAAGAAAATCGATAAAATCTCAGAGAGGGAGACTGAATCGATCAATAAAAGCGGAGTGCGGAAGCGAAAAACACAAGATCGATGGCGAATGATACCATATTAGAATCAAAATTATGGAATTGATATGAATCTGACGCAAGAACACGAGAGAAAAGGAAAGCTTCGATATTATATTGAAAGAGAGGAAAGCCAAAAAGTGTCTGAGAATATGGAGGTACAAGATATTTATACCTAGGGTTATATGAGGATAGAAAAGTAAAATTACAATTACCTATAGTTGCTGTTTATAAAACAACAACTTTAACATTAATTCTAAAACAACAACTTATAATCTTATTATAAGGTCAAAAGGGTGAAAAACGAATAAAACTATTTCAATATAATTCATGACATAACGGATGATAAAAAATGACATGAATGTATACTTCTTGTTCATTTTAAACGTGCTCTATAAAGTAATAGGATTGTAACACGTGTGATTATGATAAAATATATGTCATCTTTTATGTAATTGTAGCATAATAATCATTATGAGTCGAAAACACGATGTAAATGGACTAATGAATGTACCATGGGCCCATTATACGCCGGCAAGTTAGAAAATAGAGGAAATTGCATGCCATACTTTTTACTTAAATTATATAACACTTTTGCACACTTCATATTTTATTTTTGAAAATTACCTAAACAAGCTAAAAGATTTTCAATTATACCTAATCATCTCATTAACAGTTTATTAACCCCTTTTAAATGTGATTGACATATTTAAGTGAATTAAATATATACTTACCTAAAAAATAGCAACCAAAAAGTGCAAGTTTATTCTCTAAAAAAAACTCCCACCGCCCCACGTCTCCCTCATTCTGCAAGCCGTTCACGTTTTTCTCGCTCAATTCAATTGTCAATGGCGAAAACCAAATTCACTCGTCCTCATCGGAAAAATCCGACAAACGGTTCCGACGACTCACCACAGGTTAGGTCTAGTGCCCGTCTTTGCAAAATCCAAAACTCGTCCAAAAAAAACTAATTTTCGAAAAAAAATTGAACACTAAACCTACCCGCAAGTTTTCCGGCATGTCGAGCATGAAAAACCCTATTCCATCTCCGAGTTCAGACGACTTCCAGTCAGACCCAAGTATTCCAGAAAAATCTCGACAACCTCGTAAATTGAAGAAGCTCAAATCTACGGTCAAAACTTTGAACAAGGAAGATCCTGATTTCGAATGTCAAACCCAACCCGAAAAAACCGATAGCGATGAGGATTTGGAAGAAGAAGAAGACTCCCCGGTTGAAATGTTGTCGAAAAAAAAAAGAAAAGGATCGCAAAAGAAACGATTGCATAACTTAGGTATATTTGAGGTATAGTTTAGGTATATCTTAGGTATATTTTATATATATGTGGGTTCTGCCAGTGAGAAACAATCTGCTCGCAAAAATATCTCAAGTGTATATCTTAGGTACATTTTATGTATATGTGGGTTCTGCCAGTGAGAAACGATCTGCTCGCGAAAATATATCGAGTGTATATCGTAGGTATATTTTATGTATATGTGGGTTTTGAAATCGATTTTGGGAAATGATTGAAACTCGAGTGTATATTTAAAGTATATTTTATGTATATGTGGTATCGCGAACTTGAATTACGTGAATCTCGATTGTGTATTTTATGCATATTGTACGTATATTTTATGTATATGTGTGTTGTGTGACTTTGATATATACCCGCAACGTGTAGATTTTCATATCTGATGATAACATATAAATCATGTACAAAATTTTCATACCCGAAATATACAAATTTTTATATCGATACATATACCGAAAATATACTATATATACCCACAATATATACCCGCAACATGTACATAATAGCAAACGACCAGCAACAATACTATAGTCAACATTTTCTTCTAATGTAAGACTGTCAGGGTTTATGTTGAGTATATTCTCGGTATATGCGACAGCTTCTACCATCTCTGCAGCAACATTCCTTGCGAAAGACATGAAATTAATCGAGTCATCTCCGACATTAGGATACCTGTCAAGATCTGAATAACTCAAAGGTTCAACATTTGACTCATAATTCGTAGAAGTCGTATTCCGTTCATTATATAATGAATTCCCAGCAATACTATAAGCCTTCACCATGATGTATTCACATACTCGGTCTCGATCCATTGACCCCCATGATGTATGAAAATCATCATGCTCGACTCCATCTACAAACCCAAAAAAAAAAGTGACACATAAATTAAAACTGGTGCAAACGACCAAACACGAAAATAAACGTTAAATACGCGACAAAATTACATAAATATACCTCGATCGGAGTATATGTTCGGTGAAATATTGGGTTGCAGAAAATCCGATGATTGCAGAAAATCCGATGCGTTGCAGAAACTCTGAGCGGAGTATATGTTCGGTTAATTTTTTATTTTTTTTCTTCCGTCGCGATTTAAGAGCACTTTTGTGCAATTCAATTTACATATCTTTTCCAAAAAAAAAAAATAGAAATGGGCTGATATGAATTTGAAATGAGATTAGGATTTTTTTTTTTTCTGGTAGACATGGCGGAAATCACGACAGCAACTTATGGAGTGAGAACGTTACAATGTAACTGCTATTGATGCAATCTCATAAATTAGCCTAATTAGGTATAAGTGAAAATACTTTCATATGAAGGTAAAATTGAAAATATTTGTATTTCATATGGCAGGTATAAAAATTTCCCTTGAGAATATTTTAGTTTTGGTTGGATTTTATTGAATAAAGTAAGTCATATTGAACAAAGATAATTAAGTGGAGAATTGAGTGAGTTTTTAGTTTGTATTTAAAAATATTTAAAATATAATAATTAAAGTATGAGGTGATTGAAAGTGATACTTAATCTAAGTGGATAAAATTAATATAATATATAAAAATGATTAATTGATATTATTTAATTATATTGAATATAATTAAATTAAATTAAGTCAAATTGAATTTTCTATACTATTATAAATATGCCAATGAATCTGTAAAATTATGAAACGCCTACAATACCCTTACTTTTTGATAATTATAATGTCAAATTTATAATTTAATACACATTCTATA